CGCCAATGTGCAGAACAAGACAAGGAAATGGAAGAAAAAAAAGAAGTTAGCAAACATGCTAATTATAAACAGTAGTACCTGAGAGGATGCAACACCATGAGACACAGCTAGAGGGCAGAAGATGCAGTGAACAAGAGGAGGTCTCATTCTAGTCTTCATTCTCAGAGTGGCACAGTTCATTAAAAGGTTATTGGACAGAAAAACAGAAAATTGCAGTACACAGCTAAGGAGCTGATATCCACGTCTTAGCCAAAATTTAGTTTTAAAAGCAATTTTAAATACAGCACTTATTAGAAGGTTTTAAATGTGTCTTGAAAACACCCAGATGTGATCCTGAAAGGGGTTCAGTCTTGCCGATTTTAGAGTACAATTCAATCACCTGACTGATATCTGTAAATGCAGTTAGGGTGTCGCATTACTACCCAACAATTACATTGATAAAGTTTTGATTTAAGTTCAGCAAAAACTTACAAACCTCACAGACACAGAGTGGGCCTAAACATTAAGAGCCTTGACTTAAAAGCAAATCATTCACCTATTTGAACTCTCACAATAATATTTAGTGTCCATAGGGGAATTCATAATAAAATATGTTAACCTACAAATCTGTTCATATATCTTTACAGGTCTTTAAAAAACTTTAAAAGACAAAAATCAGGATGAATTTAAACAATGTGATACATCACTGTACACTGAAATACACTGTAAAAATAAAAACAAAATTCGTGTGATACTGGCATGATTTATATGGTTAAACTGCACATGTAATATATCTATTAAGGCCAAAATGGGTCAAATAAAATTATATCACATGTCAAAGTAATACCAAAAAAGCTAAATGTATTTATTTATTTTCTTATTGAGTTTTACTGAAAATAAATACTTCGATTCAAAAATTATTATGCAAGAGTATCACCTGAGCCAGCCAGAAGACACAAAAAGTAGAAAGAATAAGGTGTAGCACGCATGCCCTGTAGCCGTTAGGGGATGGATTCATTCCTAGACGGTTCTGCCTGCAACATGCCCTGTAGGCGTTAGGGGATGCATTCATTCCTAGACGGTTCTGCCTGCAACATGCCCTGTAGGCGTTAGGGGATGCATTCATTCCTAGATGGTTCTGCCTGCAACATGCCCTGTAGCCGTTAGAGGATGGATTCATTCCTAGACGGTTCTGCCTGCAACATGCCATGTAGCCGTTAGGGGATGGATTCATTCCTAGACGGTTCTGCCTGCAACATGCCCCTGGCTTCCCTGCATCGTCACAAGGTCCAGCTGCTTATACTGATCTTCAGAGAGAGAGTTTCTGTTCCCCGAGTGAAATGTGCTGCACAGAATCGCTGCACTTACTGTGACGCAAGACACCATTGTGAACGGATTGAAAACTGAAGCAAAAACATTTAAATAACCCTAATTAAAAAGAAAAAATTAAGCCAGTCCACCGCGAGGTAATGCACGTCTTACGTGTGCTGAAAAGAATGACAGCGAATATACCAGCTAAAATAAGACGGAAAGTGGACGTATGCCTGAGCTTTCAGCTTTTGCTGTTTACCTCCTAATGTCAGAGCTGACTGCATCCAGAGGACCATACTGCTCCCTTTTCACTGCCTCCTATATTTGCATGAAACTTCAGCCCCAAACATGGAGGCTACATCTCACTTCCCCATGACCAAACAGTGTTCAGTACAGCAATGACCCTCCCAAAAGAGGAACACGATAGAGCATAAGCAATCTCCTTGAAGACAATTTCAGATTAAAAGATTTTTTTTAAAATCAATGTGATTTCTTTCCCATTGCAGGACTTTTTAGTTGATCGTGAGCAGTAGTAGCACTAAATATGGAGCCCGACTCTTAAATCGTGGAGATGCCACTGCGTCCCCTTGTGGGACTGCAACTTCACTGCGATTTACTTAGGCTGTGTAATATATGACCATGTGCAGGGCCTGTTCAAGGCATATGGACTAAGTGGCTGCTGAGGGTAAATCACCCACCAGGGGGCGCTGCCATCCAATCAGCCTGTCAGGATGGGAGGGAAGATGGCAAATGACAACTAGGTTAATCAAATTTTGCTTAGGGCCCCAAATAGGGTTAGGCCGGCCCTGAGCACACGGTCCGCTATATTCCAGCAGACAAAGCAACAAGCCAGACCCGAGTACCAGCAACTAAAGGGAATCGAACCTGTTCTAGACTGAATTTCATGCTTGATGAGCATCACTGAGACTTTAAGACTGGGACTCACCACAGCCCTGGAGCTAAAAGACCAGCTTTTGCCTTGGTGGATTTTACAGCTTATCAACCTCCAACTTTACATGGAGGGGAAAAAATAGCATCCAAATATACAGAAAATCCAGCAGAGCTGAGGGGGTAAGATGGAGATGGGAAAACAGGCCGAAAAGGAGACATATTAAGACATAAAACACAGAGACATTGTGCCCCAACCTCCGGTCTTGCTGTGCCTTGCCCCGCAGAACACGGGGCACAATGCCCACCCCCTACAAGGGGCCGGGCGAGAGCCAGTGCCGGAGCTCGTCCAGGCCGCGTTGCGCCTGACTGAAGTAGAAGTCCACGTTTCGGGAGAAGTCCGTGCACACGCTGGACTGGACGTCACCCAGGGCACAGTAGAGGGCCGTCCCACCCACACTGACCACCACGGTGGCCAAGCAGAGGAGGAGGAGCAGCAGCCAGGAGCCCCCCCCCACCTCATCTGCATATTCACACAACAGCAACACAGGGTCATTATTTCAGGAAAGCTACACAGTCGGCTTATATCGGCTACGCAGCCTGATTCCTCATTCCCACAGGATAAATCCACTCACCCACCCATCCAAGGGCGGGACTGGTTTAAACACTGGGGGGGTTTGAGGTCTCCACCCATATACATTTACATTTATAGCATGTTGTATTAGCTGGTTTTGATTAAACCCCCCCCTCTAACCCACCCTGTACACCAATGCATCCATTTATCAGAGAGTACTTTCCAGATTTAATAAGTTTTAGATAAGATTTATTTATTTTATTTAAATGCTTACAAAGTGCTCTATAACGTGGGCAGTGGTGCCCTAATTATTAAGCATGGTTTGAATCCCCAACCAGCAAAATACCACTGAGGTACCCTGAGCTGCCCTCTGCCATGTCACGATGTGTCAATAACAGCACTTCATAATAAATTAAATCTACCCAATAAGTACCAGCAGTATTACTGATCACTGTCCCGGACCTACATAGGGTTAGGGCAGACATTTGATCATATCAAGGAAGATAATTAAATAACAAATAACAGAATTACCTTGGTCTGGTACCTCATCCAGCTCCCTGAATCGGACTTTACGCTTAGAGGTCTGCTTTGGAGGTGCAGGGGCGGAGCTAACTTCTGGGGAAGTTCTCCTCTTCAGTATGGAAACCAGACCTGAGGCAGGCGTGATCTGCAGGTGAGGAGACGTGTGAGGGTCACAGAGGCACCAACTGCCCACAGAGCTTGGATACTACAGCATCTGCTCACTACCAAGCAAGTACTAACAGCATTTCTCTGTTATTATCAACCGCAAGCTAAACCTGATCGCTTCACAGTTTACTTCTGACTGCAAAAAACTGGAAAGTGCATTAACAACTTATCATCACTCGGGGGAGGTATTTCCAGAACATGATACCATGAGTCACTTAGAAGCTTCTGAAAATTTAAAGAGCTCTGCAGTTGCTTCCCTTCAGTTGTGTATACATTAATCACAACAAACCATCCCCCCCACCCCTCCCCCAAAAAACCCATTATGTGACTGAAATTATACTACCATTATTGCATTATTGCAAATGAAAGACTTTGGCAAAAGGATTTCTGTATACAAAATAATCAACTCAGGAATGCAGACCAGAGCAATAAAAATTATCTTAACTCAGAAAACACATTTATGTTTCCAATCAGCTCTATAATTGAAGAACAAACTGCAAAACAGACCGTGGTTTTAGTTGTAAATTGTTTCTAATTCAAAAGGTATACAATAAAAATATTTGCATGCTATTCTTATATGTAACTGAGTTTTCCCAGTTGGCTTCCGATGTTCCACAAAAAAAATTATAATAAACTTACATCCATAAGAGGTTTTTAGTCAGGAACATGACAGGGCTTTAAAGGAAGTGCAATTCCCATAAACGACAATGCTATTACTGTCTAAACATGCAATTTCTACACCACATGTAGCGTTATTGAAATTCCCAGTCTTTCTTTGTGGATTCATATATACTTATAGCATTGTGGCTTATAAGAATAACCCTGAAAATGACTTTAAAGGGGATGAGAACTAGACACCGGTTGACTATCTTTACAACAGTTGTTTAAATTATTTATGTGACACTTTGTTGGTTATATCAATAATCTTAACACATTTGGCTGTTAGAAACTTGTGTGGTCACGACACTGGATGACTGTCAAATGTGTTTTGTGATGGAGCAAGTCCAAGCTCACTTTATCATGAACGGAACATCAATGTCTTCTCACTAACTTTCTGAGGGACACCATATTGGACTTGGAAAAATGCACAGGAAACGGACTGTATTAGCTGCTGTTTGACTGGTGTGAGATGGCTGCTATTCATGATTTATTAATGAATGCTACACTCTTCTCACACAGGAAGAAAAGTGAGGACGTACTCACTGTCATGCTATCCCAGGCGATAAATCTCTAACATACCTGCGCAACTGGAAGGTATGGTCACAAACTAAGATCCACAAGACATATATTAATGTTTCACTCTGAAGTGTATGAATTGCTAAAAACCTACATTTTAGATAAGATGTCTTATGTTCTTATTTTTCCCATATCTGGTCTACATCTTCCAGCCAGAAACTTAAGCATCTGTACACCAAGGCTCAGGTGCTTGATCAGTGTATCACAGATGAAAAGCTGCCTGAAGCAGGAAACAAAATCGCAAACGGACTGAAAGAAGTGCCCCACCATCGTTGCCTGGAACACAGCCTCACCATAATACAGTCTTGTGTTTCTATGCTCGTCATTCTACACCAGTTCTAAGTGAATGAAAGCCTCGATTGTGTGGCAAATACACAGCAGACAGCTTAAGCTTTTGCATGTGGATTCAAAGGCCAACTAACCCTGTTTTTAAAAATGTTACTATGACGTCACAATCAGCACTCTGGTCAAACATCCTGAACTGTCTTAGAACCTATGAGTGGAATCACGTTCATAATACGAGTTCACGAGTGAGGACTTCTCTGATTGGACAGGCGGCAAATGCATCACCTTACACATGGTAAAGCAACTTAATCTCGGAAACAGATACTTCTCGGTGGTAATTAAAATGGCACCAAGATCACAAGTGGCGTATTATACAGCAAAACATACTTTACTGTAAATTTGCATGGATGAACAGTACTGTTACAGAACCTCAAACAGTAAAAACCCAGTGAACCACAGGGAAAGTCTGACGTTTGTTCACTGAAGACCCAACACACCTAGAAACAGGTAGAGAGAATAGCAGAGGTCTTCCTACCTCCTCCACTTGAATGCGTTTGGCCAAGTCATCCAGTGAGTCATGCGGTGCTTCTCCTGCCTCCTGCGCCTGTCCGTCCCCCGCTACATCCACCCCATAACCATTGTCCTCCAGCTCGTTGGACTCCTCCGACACCTCCACCTCCACGATCTCTGGCTTCTCCTCCCCACCCTCTGCCCCCTCACTGTCTGCCGGCTCCATGCTGGAGCCAGTCTCTTCCTTCTCCTCTCCCAGCCAGTTGGGTCCCGCTGAGCTCATCTCGCCAGCGTCTGCCCCTCCCTCGTCCTCGTCTCCAGCAGCTGCCACCTCCCCCGTCTCAGGGGCCCAGTCCTGCCTGGCTTCTGCCAGCCCCGAGGTCGTCCTTGTGTCATATCCCTCTGCCTGCTGGACAGACTCTGGGAGATCCGTTACGAGGTCCGTCTGGTTCTCCTCCTCCTCCTCCTCAGGATATAAGGAGCTGTCAGCCAGCAGACCTCCCAAGGTGGCCTCTAGTCTTGCGTTGTTTGGTGACTCCGCTATGGCGACCCCGTCTACACTCGCAGAATCATCCGGACAATGCCTGCCAGTCTTATCCGACGTGGGAATGGCTGGGGAATCAGCAGAGAGCAGCATCTCCTCCCGGTGGTCAAGCGTGGAAGTTGAACTGACTCCCTGCTGCAATCCAAGGCCTGTGCTGTCTGCAGCATGCTGTGTTACGGATGCATCCTCCATTCTAAGTACCCCGGTCCTCCCTGGTGACTCAGAGCTGCTGTCTGCGAAACAGAGACACATCATCACCAGAGTGATCTCTCTATCTTTATCCAAACCTGTTTTACGTGAATAGTTTCTGACCCAAATCCTCAGTCAAAATCAAAGGAGCGACTACTGCTCTATCCCTACCACTCCAAATTTCAGCTACTCAGTAAGTCAAGATCTTCCCCACCACCCTTAATCAGGCTGTAAAGGGACTACAGCTACTACCGACATGCTTAGAAAAGTGAAATGATATGTCCAGGGTTATCTATACATGACTTCAAGCAAGTAAACAGCATTGGGCAATTTCGCCCTAGGAACGAAGGCGATTTTGTTCTCTGGCATGAGAATTTGCTGACGTCCATCTTGACATGAAACACACCATCCAGGTGTAAGACTCAGTTATCTGAACTTTTCCATCAGCAGATTCACATGACAAAGTGAATCACAAAATTAGAAATTAATACAATAAACAGTCTCCTTATGATTATTGTTTATCTTATGATGACATAAATAATGTTAAAAGTTTTGGGCACCGATGCCAAAAACAGAAACATTAGATATAGACAGACTGAGTCAGAACCACATTAGAGGGTTAACTTAAAATAAGATTCCAATTAATAAATAAATAAATAAAGAATAATTGATACTTTGATCCCTGTGGGGAAATTGTCTTTAAGCCTCCCCGAAGTTGCTCTCTGTAGGTAAGAGTAAAGTGGCTGTAAAGGGCAGCCACCTGTTGGGGCGCCCAGGGAGCTGGGGGTTAAGGGCCTTGCTCAAGGACCCACAGACGTGCCGAAGCAGGGTTCGAACCGGCGACCCTCCAATCACATGCACACAGACTTAGTCCACTGAGCCACGTGCTGCCCCCATGTGTGTTATGTGTGTCAGATCCCCAGTCCCCCAGCCCTCCCCATTGTACTTATCTCTATGTTTCATTCAGAGGCTATTCACACTTTGGAGGACAGTCACTAAGATTTCCCACAAGCCTCCCTGTCACCCAGTCTTCTGCTCTCTCACTGGCACAAATGGGACAGGGAGCCGTAACGGGCACGGATGGGATTAGAATCAAAAACGCCTGGCTTAGGAACACGGAGGTACTATCAAAAGAAAACAACCTACATAATAAAAAGGACAGAAGCTTTTTAAAAAAAAAAAAAAGACGACTTTTGGATGGCAGTACTAGATCAAAGGAAAACGTAGAAAACTTAATGAACAAATATTAAGTATTTCAGCACAGGATGCGTGTACCTATCTTGTCGGTATAAAACATGTACGCCTGGTGTAGACTAAAGTTACCGGGCCGGTTACCACGGTGGCGGTCCTAGTATTAAAGTAGCTTCCTGACCCCCGGCTGCCTGACAGACAGAGGAAGACAGATCCAGGAGACAGGCTGCTGAACAGGCCGCACTGACAGATGGCCATCCAGACGGGGGGCTGGCGGGGGGAAGGTTTCACGCCTGGCTCGTGAAAGTGAAACCAGGCCGGACAACAGAGAGCCCCGCATCCATGATGGCCAGGTAACATACAACCCCCCCGGGTCCCCGTGGGCAGCTCTGCCCACAGACTGCACCGGACTCATCAATAACACATGTCGCCCCCCCGGCACGTGGGGCATGGCAATGCGAGCCAATTCCATGAGCGCTCCCTAAGATATAGGTCCTAAACACTTCACGGTGGAATTCGATGGCTGTCTAAGTCCCTCAGCCTCTCCATTTACAAAGCGCAAGATGAAAACTAAACCGAGAGACTGACAAATCAAAATGACCAAAGAAAGTAGATCATAAGTCCAGCCCTGTTCCCTGCAAAGCGACATCACGGAACGGCCCAGGAACCGAAAGAGATCACGGGACGGCCCAGGAACCGAAAGAGATCACGGGACGGCCCAGGAAC